ATTATAAATATATAATAAATTATATGAAATTATTTTTAATAATAATTATTATTATAGGAAAAAATTAATCGAATATTTGTTTTACAGATAGATACTTTAATTAATCCTTTAAAGACGTCCATGAAAAGTGTTACACAGGCAGTCAAAACGATGCCGGATAATATGTTGAGTACGGTGGATGGTGTAATGGACAATCTCAGCAAATTTTTCGGCAATCCCAAGAAGACGAGTATGTTTTACGAGAACACCAAAGTCGGTGCCAGTCTCGATACAGAGGTATTTCCGCGTGTTACACTCGTTCGCGAGTTCAGTATGTCGAATCGATTAACAAATTATTTTAATTTATGTTTGTAGACTGACGATAACATACCTTTGCGAATTATGTTGCTATTGATGGACGAGATCTTTGATCTGAAAGTACGAAATCAGTGGCTAAGGCGGCGCATCATAACGCTGCTACGCCAAATTATACGTACAATGTTTGGGGATATAGTTAACAGGAGAATAGTGGAGTACGTATCATTCTTGACCAGCCCGTCGAAAGTTGCGGGATATTTACGCTTGTTCAAGTAAGTAGCCGACATCGTCGCGAATAATGAAGAATATCATTGAAATTTTAATATAAAATAATTCATATGTGTATATTATAATTTCATATCGATATATAATTTTAATTGTCCGTTATGTATATATAATTGTTAAAAAATTATATTTATGTTATTCAACGTTTATCTATGTGAATAAAGGGAAGATTATAAATATATTAATCTCGTTTTTATAGGAATAGCTTCTGGCCGAACGGTGTAAAAGTCGAGAGTAAGCCGCCGCGAGACACGGAAATGAAGAACAGAACGCGAGTGGCAGCTAAAGTAGCTTTGCTTTCGTGTCTTTCGGACGAACTGAAACATATCATAGGTAGCGAGACAACAAGGCGTGGCTTGTTGAGAGTGTTCGAGCTGTTTCAGCGACCCGTATTAAACAGAAGACTGTTATACGTGTTGCTAGAGGGTATCGTGGAGACCCTGTTCCCGCAGAACAATCTTGTGACGGTTTTCAGGAAACTATATTCGGTGTCGCCGAGGATAAGGAGTAAAAGCAAAACGAGATCCTGATGGAAGAACAGGACGGATTAATGTTCGGATGCAATAGTGCGAGAACGAATGCACAGTCAAACTAACTCGTGAGGTTAAGAATCTCGACTTTATTATCGATCTTGAATAAAGATACATCAGTTCTTTAGGTAGCTTAGAGATTTACGATATTAAGAAAATACTCTCGTGCAAAGTGTCCAATATAAGAGAAACATATTTAAAATATTTGTATCTATGACTCATTGAGCTCTTATTCGACTTTTATCTTTAGTTTTTCTTTCTCTTTTTATCTCTAACGCAGACTTTCTGATATTCTATAAAATATCTGCGCTGTGATTGAGTGTCAGTTCAATATTTCAACGATTAAGCTAGCAGTAGCTTATTTGAGCTCAATGGGTTAATGAGACATCAATCGTTACGCTTATTGAGATATTACTGGATGTCGTTTATTCTCTTCAAACAGTCCTCTGAACTGCAATGCGAAATGCACATGCATGTAAATGCTATTGTAACGGACACCCGTCGCGCCTACAACTTCCGACAGGGAACAAAACGAAAGTTATACGCTTTCATATCTTGATGATTTATATGTTCAACGATGCACACGGAAAAGTTCCATCCTATTAAGTCCCCTGTTAGTTAATCGGCGCCAGAAATCATTTCCAATGGAATAATATAATCTTAAAATATCCTAGAAATATCCTAAAATTATTGAAAAAGATTGAAATAAAACTTCTAAGAAATTGTCTCATTTAATTATATTAAAACTTAATTATGTAAAAAAAATACATAAAAATAAATAAACTCTCTTAAAATAAGATGTTCTAGTTCCACAAAAATTATTTTGATATTTTATTAAAAGATTAAAATATATGTTAAATTAAATAATCTTATGGCTTCTCTCTTAGAATTCTCTCTCGTTAGATCATCTAAGTAGATCGTTTCCTCGAACTAAAATATACTGAAAAAATTATTGATGGCGCAATCAGAAAAACAGGTGGTATAGAGCTTTTCCGTGATATATGCAATTATTTTAAGTGATCTAGTGGCCAAAAAGTACGATATACGAATTTCAATATCGATATATTACGTAACCGAGTCTGCAACTCAGGCTGCTGTTCTCTCGTCGGTATTAACGTAGAATATAATATAAAACAAAATAAGAAAAAAATCGCGAATTCCTTGTGATTACCTCGTAGGAAAATGCAATAAGATTCACGGAAACATTCCACTTGCATTTTAAGTTATTACACTGGGTAATTAGTTAATTATTCTTTTTACAAAAGCGCTCGGGAGACTATTACGTAGATGTATAAAGAGAACACTATACATCACTCAATTTACTTAACTTGTAGGCGATGCAATCAATTTAGACAGATAATATAGTTTATCGCAGACGTTATACTTAATTATTTATGTTGAAATTATACTCGATAATTTATTCGTGCCATTCGCGCTCGAGTACCTATCTCTGTATCTACTCATCAGTGAAAAATTATTAACAATCTCGACAACGTTCTTCGAACATCTGTAAAAATTTAGGAGGGGACTCCCTTCGTCGAAAATACAAAATGCAATTGTATAAAATTGTTATACATTACTCCATCGTACGTCTGTATATAGAGTTATCTCATGTTAAAACACGCCATACACTTATCATGTTCACTTATTAAAGGAACTATTTATAACTTGGGTAGGAGTTCCTAGTTTTATCCCTAAACCTATCCCGATATTTGTTTATATAGACGGATGTATATAATTCTTTAATACTATATATACGTATAATATGTGCATAAAACTGCCGATAATATTTGATTTTAACATATCACTTTCTCTTTTTTATCATAATACTATTATATAATTATATATTGCATGAAATTATGCTCTTAAAGTTTCAAAGAAATCGCGAACGAAGTTAGTCTTAAAACATTTAGAATTTCAGAACATATTAACAATCAACCTTAAAACTGCGAAAAGTTCAAGTTAGAATATATCGTTACCAAACTAGTCTAAATATCCATAATGATTCGGCTAATTATTAAGTGAACGTTTTTGTTTCGAGCTTAGTTAAGCCTAGTCGATCGCTGGTTCAAGCGGGTCTCTATAAAGAACGAACGACAATAGACGAGGGTGTTCGAAAACAAAAGAAGTTTATTACCGAAGGAGCGCGCGGCGGCTACCGCCGCCATGAAAACGAGGGAGGCGAAAAGGGATATTCGAGAGAGAAGGGCAGAAAAGAGATGGGGGGCGACCAGTGCTTCCGCCATGAACATCCCCCCGGGTCGCATACTTTGTACCGCTTCTCTCTTAACTAGAACTTCATGAGTCGGCGTAGTTTTTAATATATTTATCGCATGAATGGAACTTCGATTTTTTCCAAATTATTAACTTTCGACAGCAATAACAATAAGAGCATTGTACTCTTTTAAAATCTTTTAGAAAAATTATATTGTACAATAATATTTTTTCCAACAGATTTTTTATTAGCATCACAAAAATAAAGTCTTGTATATAATAAATATAACTCTACAGAGACAGAGAGATTAGAATTAAAATAGTCTGGAAGATCATGCATTTACGTTCTCAAATTTCTCCACGCGTCTCTGACGGGGATATTTTACTGAGGCGCAAAATAACGTCATAGGGGGAGAGGGGTTGAAGAAACGATGATCGTCAGAGCGTCGAGGGCTTCGCGCGACGCAACGATGATGGGTACGCAAGGAGGAGAAGGAAAGCAACTAAAGAGAGAAAGAGAGAGAGAGAGGCCGAGGGGGCAGAAGGAAAGCGAGAACATGGGCCATTGTGCGAAAAGAATCAGGTACCGTGCGCGTATGCGTTTTCAGAAGGGGGTTCTCGCTCATGGCACAACGCGGCCCCCGGGCTCTATCAGAAAGAAAAGGGGGTAGGAGGGGAGAAGAGAGAAAGGGGGGAAAGAGAGAGGGAAATAGCGGCCATACGTGAGCGACTACCGAACGGCCCCCGCTTACTCTAACGAAAGAAAATCGATATGCATGATTCACGCACGCGAGAGCGTGTCGAAGGGGGTTGGAGGGGAGCGAGCGGGGCGTTCTTGCGAGGGGAGCAGAGGGATACAAAGAGAGAAAGAGAGAGAGGGGCAAAAGAAAGTCATATGACGAGGGGAAGAGGGACCATACACTCTGGCAGCGCACTTCTCTTCCCTCAGCCACCTCGTTCTCGAAGGGGAACGAGTCTCCATCGGGTGTAGTACGACGTAAAGTAGTAGTACGCATACTATACCCAGACGCACGCGTGTAATCCTATACGTGAATGTGCGAGCGCGCGCGCGCACCCGCTCCCGCGCGATGGGGAGGGATATGTCCCGCGATGCTACCCCCTCGGTCACTCGATCAGTCGTGTCCGAGGTACCCTCGCTGCCGTAAACTGTTATCGCGTTAACTCCGCGTTGCCGCGTGTTTTCCCGCCGCGATTTCGACGGGTTCATTATTCCGCGTGCGTGAAAACGTGTGTCCTGAATGCGTAAATCATTTTCAATGGCATCGCGCAATCATGCAATCTTCGTCACAAGATTGTATCAATTTCGATTTACATGTTATTATTTTTTACATGTTATTATTTATATATCGTATCGAGATGATAATCCACGTTGTAAAAATTTCGAGAAGTATGTTCTTTCCGGGAAAGTGGGAAAAAATGCCGCGCGCGTAACGGAGAGTCGTTTTATCGAGTGCCATGTTTTAAAAAACATTTTAAAACGTTGTTTTAAATACATTGAAAATCTGAAAGAAATCTGAGGAACGCTTGTGAAATTATAGTGTTTTTTAAACATTTATACATCGTTTTTTTAAATAATTTATTGTCTGGAATTTTTATGCGCAGTTTGCTAATTTCTAGCGTTCGTTGTTTATTCCGTCAAAGAAAAATTTATTCGTGTAATCTAGAAGTATCGAAAAATATGAACAAAATAAATTTAGACTATTAATATCGACTGAGATTGCTGATGAAAGAGATTGTTTTTTGATCTGAGATTTCAAAAATTACACATAAAATATCAATTTTCCAAAAGATAGAAAGTATTAAAAATTAAAAATTAAATTCTACATCATAAATATTAAACTTTTTATCGTTATACAAAATATTCTTCCTAGTAGAATTATTTAAACCACGACGTAATTACAAACTAAAAATTCGCAAGAACATCTCGTTGCGTGTGTAAGAACTATTTATAAAAAAAAAACGTCACGTTTAATACAATTATTAGAAATTTATTTTACAAGAACGTTTCTGGCAAAATTAGAATTTCCGAAATCCGACATTTCGTATCATCGAGATCAAATGTGGAACGAAGGCTCGTTGAAACTGCGACGAAACAATCTGAAGAGCAAAACACCCTCCGTCGACGCGGCTGCGCGCTTTCCCGCCACGAGGTATAATAACGTAGAAATGAATGGAAGGAATGGAGGGTGAATCAGCCCGCGAATATCGTTCACGTTGCAAAACACGCGTCGCTTTCAATGGAGATAATCAGCACCAATTTCTGAATATTTCGGCGGTATGTGTGTATGTGTGTATTTTATTAAGCTCGGAGAGAAATTTTAAAATTAAAATATTAGTAATATTTACATCGCTGCACGCGTGTGATTTACAATGCATTTATATGTATCTATAGCGATTTAATGTAAAAATTAATATGCATACATTTGCGGGAATAAATACGCAAGTAAATCTTTTACTGTGTAAGGACTCGATTCGGAGGATTTGCACGATCGTTATGCCCGCTCGAAGCCTGTGGTGCGAGTTACAGGCGTTGTAATGGGATTACGAAAGAGAGAGATGCGTGCTGATCGATTACGCGTAAATGCGATGCGTATACGCGTGCGAGAGAAAAAATTCGTGCAACGCATAGAGTCTGCATGACGCATCCCAAGAGCTCCCAGAGAACTAAATTTCTTTTATTCGCGAACACTTTCGACAATTTGGAATCAATTTTCTGCCAACATTTGCGTATAAATAGGAGACGATAAAAAATAGATGTGCTCCTTTTTTCCTTACATCTTTTTTAATGTTGACCAGACTAATAAATTTTTCGTTCAAAAGTTTCTGGTAAAAAATATATCAAGCCTTAAATATCAAAAAATGGTGAAAAAGAGAGTAATATTTTCTCTCCTAAGAGTAGAACAATAATTGATAGCGAAAAGCACGATGGAAAAGAATATGACAGACAAAAAGGGAGAAAGGAATCTGGAACAGTATCGATCCACGTCGTAATCGAAGGATCAAGGATTATAGCCCATTTGTCGAGAAGTCATGGAA